ACATAGCAGTTTTGGTACAGTATGATATTTTTACAAATTGTAATTGGATAAGTCGTAACCGAGAGATAATAAAACACAATAATAAGTTTCACCAAAGAATAGCCCGAATTTTTTATTCTTAGGCTTTTAATTGTTCTCCTCTATCGACAGAGAGGAAAGAGAGAAAGAAACAAAATAACAAAAAAAAAAAGAAAAAAGAAGTGGCGATAGCGTAACCGCGCATTATTGAGTTTCTCCATCGGATAGAAATAAATTTCTGTTCAGCCTTGTTATGGTTCGATACGTAGATATAATTTTATGAAGTTCATAAAATTTCGGGCTGTCGATGTATCTACGAGATTAAACGACTAAAAGCATAATTTGAGTAAGCATTATTTCAATCGTACCACTTTTTACGTCACAATACAGATGATGACAATACTCCCAGAAAAAAGGTTCAACATGAGTTACTTTTTTTTTTAAAGATTAGCGTTTTTTCCAAGATTAAATGAAACATTTTGTAAGATGAAATTCTAACAGCCTTCGAACAACTTGTGCAACACGAGAATTTTAAATCGTTGCATTGAAAACGTACAAAATCACAGTCAAAGAATACGTTGCAGAAAACTGATTACATAATACAGGCTCGTTGAAACACGTCAGACTGTGATTACGTATCATCTGAGCAATCATTCCAGCCAATTTCTACAATGTTCTATTTAAAGAAGTTCTTGAGGCACTTGAGTATCAGCGTGATGCTTACATTGAGATAGCACGAAAAAAGGAGCAACTTTTATTTCCTCGCGAGTATTTCTTCGAATTATTTCTCCAACATTCTTTCTTTACTCGATTATACTCGAAACACAAGTATGATATTCAACAACGTTGCAAGTCAAATATACCGTAGAAGGTCGTGAAACGACGAAATTGTAACGAAACGAAACAAAAAAAAAAGAAAAGAAAACAAAATAAATGTAACTTACAATAATTCGTGTAGATTATAAATGTATCGTAATTTCATGGAAATGCGGTCATCGTAGGCGCAGCGTAGTCGGTATCGCGAAAAAACATCGCTGGATTGGAACGTTCATGCAGACAATGGTATACGCTGCGCGTCCCGACGTATCCTCGAATTTCAAGCCCGTCCTTCCATGTTGACGCCAAAGGCTACTTCGCCTCGTGTCGTGTATTGAAGGACCTGGGACTGAGGTGGCCCCGAGGCGATCCAGAAATGGAATATAATCAAGCCGCTGCTCAACAGAGACGGAGAACGTTGGGGTGGGTGGTAAAATGTGCAATAGGTAGCTGCAAGGAGCAAGTGAGAAAGACAGATCGCAGGGGTTCGGAAACGAAGTAGAGAAAAAGGAAGGAAGGAGGAGAGGAAGAAGAAGAAGAATGGAATAAAAGACGTGTAGAATAGAGAGAGAGAGAGAGACAGAGAGACGAAGAAAAGGGGTTGGATATATATATGAAGGTAGAAGAAACCGTTATGGCAGGAAAAAGGTGGGGGATGGTAAAGTAGAGTTTTCGGGTAGCAGAAAGAGAAAACAGTATTATATATATATATGTGAAGGGGAAAGAAAAGGAAGGAAGAAGGAAGAACAAAAGAAGGTAGAGAAAAACGAAGAATGGACGAGAGGGAAGAGAGAAGGGACGTGGTTGGTAGAAAGAAAGAGAGGGTTGTAAAGAAAATGACGGAAACAATAAGGTAGAATGGATGAAAAGATAAAGGAAGGAGGAGAAAATAGAAGTGCAGAGAGAAAGGTAGAGAGAGTGAGAGAGAGAGAGAGAGAGAGAGAGAGAGAGAGAGAGAGAGAGAGAGAGAGTGAGAGAGTGAGAGAGAGAGAGAGTGAGTGAGCGAGTGAGGAGTGGGGGAGGGAAGAGGGTCGAAGCAGTGTCGGGCTCTCCGCTCGGTAGGTTCGAGGGATGACAGCCTGCGGCCCATACTACCCTGCGGCGTCGCGGATATTGAGTTCACGGTAACCATGGAAACGGGGCCTGAGGCAATGACGTTTGTGCGCTTTATCCCTTATTCCCGCGGTTACGTGATCAACGCGGTTCCGAGCTCTTTTGCTCTCTCCTGCTCCTCCTCCACCTCCAGCCTTTTCCTTTCCTTATTTCTCCTCGTCCTTCTATGCGCGTGTTGCCTTATTTTTCTTTTTATCTAGTACCACGAACGGATCTATTGTCGGCTAGACTTATAAATATAGTTATTATTCCCGTCGTCTCTACTCACCCCTGTTCCTTGCTAATTGTCAGGAGTGCTCCTCTGTTTTTAGGATTAGAGGAAAATTGGACGATTCGCTCAAAGAAGAAACATTGGTACAGCGATGGAATTATTTTTTTTATCGTCATTTGTTTTTTTTTCGTCGGTTGCGTTCTAAAGTCACGGAATCGATTGAAAATCATCGGAGCGAAAGGTCAACTCGGATATCCTGTAACTCGTTTGAAGTCTATCAAATTTTCACGCACACGCCGCTACGGAAATTGTATTGCTCGACTAAATAATTTCATTCCCCATTTCTATTCTTTTTTTTTCCCCCTTTGAGATTTGACCGAGCCTGGAAATTCTCGACGGTCATCGTGTTGTATCCTTTGTATTCTTTTCAACTTTGGCTTCGAGATCGTTCGAACCCTCTGAAAATTTCACGTTCATTTCGTGGATGGAAGGGAGATCGTTCGCGATCGAACGCGAAATAAACGGGAGACCAGAACGTTTCCACGGTTTCATTGTAATAAACATTTTATTAAATCAATCGGATACGATAGCTTAATCGTAGCAAGTGTCTTATCGAAGATTAGAAATGATTTTCTCTCCTCTTTTCAACGCGTTAATAATAACTGGGACACAGTCTGGTTGAATAAGCGAAAGTCGTACGGGACTTAAGCGGTACCTTTGAAAATAGAAAAAAAGAATCGAAACGAATATTGTAAACGATTCGTTCGTTTCTTTCTTTTCGTCCCCTAAAAATTTCTCGATCGGAAAAGAAAAAAGAACAAAAAACACAGCTTGAGCCGAATGAGATCAACGCGAATTATTTCGTTGTCGAATTTGTCCGCATCTATTTAGGTGTCGGCGAAACTTAAGTACATAGAA